TGGCTTATATCTTGATGTCCCCCCAAAGCCTCATGTATTCACAGGTGGGGCTTATCAGAGATGACTGGATCTAGGGTAGGTGACTATGGATTAAGAAATTAATTCACTAATTGACTCAGCATAGTGCTGGGTGTGAAAAACAGAAAGCCCCCCACAACAGGCTTGCAGCCTGGACGAAACACAAAGCGACAGGAAAGCCCAGTGCTCCGATGCCCTCCGCCTGCCCGCTATGCACTGCTTCCTCTTGCTGCACCCTTTTGCTGGCCTTCCCTGCCTTGGAGTCAGTTAGACTGAAACTTCTACAAACTTTGAGCTGCAATAAACCTTTCCTCCTTTGGCTTGTAGGTACTGGGTATTTTGTCCCAGCAACAAGAAAAGTAACTAAGACAGTCTCCCTCTGTAAGTTTATGTCAGTTGTATTTTATTTCCGCAACTGTTTGCTTATATCCATTACCTATTTTTCTGATGAACTTTCATTTTTTTATTTTGAAAGAATTATTTTCAGGGGCTGGGGATTTAGTTCAGCGCCTGCCTTGCAAGCGCATGGTCGTGAGTTGGATCCCTGGTACCGATAAAAAAAAAAAAAGAATTATTTTCAACAAAGGAAATTACCAATTTATCTTTTCTTTCTTTCTTCCTTGTTTCGGAAACAGGGTTTTGCTCTGTCGTTCAGGCTGGACTTGGAAATACGTAGCCTGGGCTTGCCTCAAACTCATTGTGATTCTCCTGCCTCAGTTTCCCAAGTGCTGAAATTACAAGTGGGTACTATCACTCTCAACCCAATTTATATTATTGTTGTAAACATTTGCTACTTTTGGACTTTTTAAAGTTTCGCTTACTGTATATTTATTTAATCATGAAGCATTCCCAATTTTTATGTAGTCAGATGTATAATGCCTTTCTGCTGTGGCTTCTGAGATTTGCCTTACTTGGAAGGCCCTCCTCACACTCAGATTCTTTTAAACCATCATTTCCTAATGTTTTTATGGCTCTTTTTTAAATGTTTGGGTCTTTGAGCCAATAGGAATTTACTTAAGTGGTAAGGAAAGAATCTATGCTCTTTTGCATTTTTTCTTCAGGTAATAACTAAAATCATTCATTAAAGAATTCATCTTTTCTGTTATAATCATTTTAAATGCAAGCATTTCACAAGGGAGTATATGTCTAGAAAAATGTATGTTTACTAAAGCCATACTAATTATCTAACACATGTAGTAAATGCTATTTACCTATCATATTAACTGAAGTTACTCTGAATGGAAAGGCAATGAGGAATGTGTTATGGGAATTATTGGATATACATACCACATGACTAAGGGTGGATACAACTTACTGTAAGTTCGCCCTCCAGAAGTCTTTAGTTTGTTTATTAGAAATAGAGTATAGTATTTCACATTGGAGAGTAATGTCACTCATTGGTATAGAACAATGTCGCTTATAATTGTTTTGTTAGGTTTGCTTCCAGATTACCAGAGAAATGTTTTACAACTTTTTATTCTAAGTTTCATATTTATCTATGATGTTAAGAAGAGAAAAATGACACAATAATTTTTACTTGAATTTTCACTGGTACAAATGAGATGAAGTCTGATGATGAATATGCTGATACCTTTCAGAAGTAAAAGCCCCCAGCGTGAGCCTGCAGCAAGCTGCTGTTCTCGTGTCTGAGACTTGCAGGGGCCGAGATTCAGGAAGACAAGGCTACGGGGCACCATCCATAAGGCTGGGTCAGAAGCTCAAAAAGCTCCAAGTGCAAAAGGGATACAAAAGCACAGACTGCTAAATTTTTGTTTTAGTTCTGTTTGAATTATATTACAGGTCTTTCTCCTTTTCTCCTGAGTGTGTGATGGAGACTGAAACCTAAAAGTAGCGCCCCATCAAGTTTACTAGTGAAGATACACGTTCACACTATAGCATTTGGTCATTTTAACAGCTGCACAGTGAACTTCTAATAACACTGCTTAAAAAAAGAACTTTATGGAAACAAAATAAAGTCTTGTTTCACAGAAGTACTACTATATTCTTTATAGATGAAAATACAGACTGTAAATTAAATTTAGTTCAGATTTTTCTGACGAATGAAATGTCTTTGAACTTTCTTATTTGAACTTCTTTTTTTACAATTCTTTATGAGTTCTTTTTCTTTTAAATAGTTCAATAGTTAAAGAGTTCTTCTCTTCCAAGATAAGAGAAGCAGCTGCTTTTTTTTTTTTTTGTCTTTTTCCTTTTTTATCGGTACCGGGGCTCGAACTCATGACTGCCTGCTTGCAAGGCAGGCGCTTATGCCGCTGAGCTAAACCTCCAGCCCCGAGAAGCAGTTTTTTATTCCTAGAATTTTATATCTGGAAAGGATAAATATTAGAAGTAGCATTATAAAAGAATAAATATTAGAATATTATAAATGTCTCCAGAGTAAGACCTAACAAAACATTAATAAGCATCCTGAAAGAACGTACTGCTAAATTTATGCTTCTTCTGCAATTTGTAATTAAAGATGGCAGATGCATAAAAACCTGGATATGTGAAAATTAAGACTGTCTCAAATATAATAATGAAAACCATATGTTAAAATCTAATTCAGAAAGATAAGGAATGATGACTAGTTTTTCCACAGGAATCCAAACTTTTTTCTATCTTCTTTTTTTGGGTCTTGCTATGCAGTTCCATCTGGCCTTGAGCTCACTTTGTAGTTCAGGCTGATCATGAACTCTCAACAATTCTCCTGCCTCAGCCTCCTGAGTGCTGGAATTACAGGTATGCACCACCATGCCTGGCTTGTCTATCTTCCTTTTAAAATATGAAATACATGATACGCTGAATTTTCTGGAAACAACATAAATTCAAAACTGAAATTTCGTTTTTAAAACAGAAAAATTCTGTTCCAAATGAAAGTCACCATCTTGTCATTAAAACCTACGCGCGCTGTCCTGGGTTTCCCATCGCCCTTAATGGAAACCACAGTTTCAGAATCTAAGAGTGAAGCCAGAACTGTGTCCTCTCCAACTTCTTCCTCTCATGCTCTCTCTCACATCTGCACCATTCTTTCCATTCCCACAGCTTCCTACAACAAGGAGTCATTCTGGATCCTTTCCTTCTTCTTCCCCACCTCTGGTCCATCAACAAGTCCTCCAAGTGTAATCAGGATGTAACCACATCTCACACCATCACTGCCAACACAGTGGCCAGCCACCATCACCAGAGTCACAGGCTGCTTTCCTAGCTGGTCTCCTTACTTACACCCATGAGTTTCCGCTTCAGTCTGCTCTCAGTACAGCAGGCTGTCAGCAGGACACTCCCCAGCTTAAAACCTCCAGGGGATTCCTTGCTCTGAAAACCCTGAAGTCCCTATGGGAGCAGCAGGATCTGGCCCCACAGGCCCTCGACTCCGACCTGAGGTCCACCGATACTGCAGCAAGGTTGCTCCCTGGCCTCTGGCCACAGTGGCCTCCCCTCCCGCTGTGCTCCTCCCCTCTACCCCGACACTTGCTGCATTCTCGGCTGGGAATGCTCATCCCCCATGACACCCTTCAGGTCTCATCTCAGTAAGCGCTTTTCCTTCTGAAACCTCACCATTCTTCTCTCAACAATTAAAATTCTTCTTTTGTATGTTGTGTTTTCCTCCACAGCACACAGTACACATTCTTCTCATTCATCTAGTTATCACCAGTCTCCTTGACTAGAATGCAAACTCTCTCAGTGGGAGTTTTTTTGGTCTGCTTTCTTCTGTGTCTATTCCTGATGCCCAGAAAAAAGCATGGCACCCAGCAGGGGTCAGTGAATTTTGCCAAATAGTGGACAAATTAAGAAATAAGTAAAAAAAAGAAGGAGTTCAGCTTTGGACTTCTCACGCATCTTCCGATCTCCTGGCAGCGGTCTCTACTCCCTGAAATCAGCGCTCCGGACCTCGGTCAGTAGGCTGCCTAACAGGCTTGACACTATCATTCCTCTTAGCAAGGTCCTAAGTAGCTGTCTGCAGGATGGCCTTCATAAGCAGGGAACCTTTTTTTCCTAACCTCATCTCTTTATATCCATTCTTACACTTTAGCCTGTAGACCAGTTATCTCCCAAACTTAAGAAATTTCTGCGTTCTTTTAAGAAAAAAAAAAATCTCAGTTCTCAATTTCTCTGAAGGTCAGACCCCAGGACTTGAATTTGAGAAATATCAGCTTAAGAAATTTATATTCCAGTCAATAAAATGTCTGTTTTTTATAGGTATTATAAAATGATTGTAATATCGTAAAGGAAGTGAGGGCCAAAGCTTAAGACCTTCATGTATCTTGAGCACCATAAAAATGAAACCAAAGATCTAGAAACACATAGTGGTACAGAGATTAAATGATCTGCTCACCCCAGAGAGGCCCTGCTCGCCTGCCTCTACGTGAGCCTTGGTCCTTGCTTCCCCTCATTGCAATTTTCACAATTCTATGCATTATCCGTTGCCTACTTTGTCACTTTCTTAATGAATTTTCTTTTTCGATGCCCTCAGTTAAAACTTCTTTCATTCTCAGGGGGGTAATTTTCCATCTCTTTTATGAGACTTTTTTTTTTTTTTGTCTTTTTTTTGGTAGCAGGAATTGAACTCACAACCTCGCACTTACCAGGCAAGCGCCTAAGCCACTGAGCTAAATCTCCAGCCCCGCACTAACCAGGCAAGCGCATAAGCCACTGAGCTAAATCTCCAGCCCGTCTCTTTTATGAGACTAACTGCACTATTCAATCAATATATATTATTCTTATATATTATTATTTTTCATGGTTATTTTAATTCCTAGTAGTATAAGGATTAATTTCTTCCTTTTATTTCTACAACTAGTATAGCACCTTCCATATAACAATAAACTGATAATCACATAGGTTAAAAAAATGGTTCTATAAATGTGACCCTCTTTTGATCATGAAAATGGAACTACTGACTACGTTTATAATCAAAGATATGTAATATATTTCTACTAAATGAGAAAAAATGTGGGAAAAGCTTTCAAGTCATTCACAGGACTCACCTTCTTCTAAGTATTAAGTCTGATACGGGTATGCATCTTAGGCCAGTACCCAAAACCATGAGGAAGGACGTCAGAAGCACAGTCACCCGCAGACCTAAAATGAGACAAAAAAAAAAAAAAAAAAGCACCAAATTAGTTTTACTGTCTCTTAAGTAAGCTTAATGTTAATAATAAATATTTTTCTTACCCAATCAACTGACACTATAGTTTAACATATGGTTTTTCTCTGCAACCTCCAATACAGAAAAAGGAAAGTAACCCCATATGTGGAATATGAAGTGACTTTAATAGAACAGTGGATTGGAAAGAAAGCTAGTGTCTCCATAGAATCTGCCACGCCAGGACTTGGGTGACCAATCAAGAAATCAACGATTCAGTCTTCCTGCTACGTATGCAAGCCTACTGGCGCCCGGACTGAGATTCAACACCGGACCCCCCAGCAAACAGACAATTAGGAGGACAGCCTGAGTTGATAGCAACTAAGGTACATAAGGTACATAAATGCTTGTATTGCTTGGTTGATTACACAGTCCTGGGGCCAGCAGTCTCAGTGTCAGTAGATGACAGTATGCAAATAAGGGGGATTTTCCTCCTATTTTGTCTTTGAAGTTCAATACTGTTTTCACTGTTTTGCTTTGTTCTGATTAAGTATTCTGCTTTATTCAATATTCTGTTTTGATTGGTTTTATAGTGTTTTGTTTTTGGTTTGATTTTGTTATGCCTGATGGAATAGACAACTATTGTGAAGATAACAAGATATACTATGGTAGTTATTACTGTTTTTCTGGTATCCTGCTCTGAAGTTCTGTAACAATCTGGCTGCATTGTCTTGATTGGCTTTGTTCTGTCTTGCTTTGTTGTATTTTACTATCTTTAAAATAAAAAAAAAAGAAAAACGGAATAATAGTATCAAAGATAAAGTTCCACTGGTTCTAATTTTTTAAGACAAATGTCTAGAATGTCCAGATATAATACTAAAAATATAGAAAATAATTTTAAAAGACAAAGTACTTTGATTTTATATATTCAAGTAAAAATTTTAATTTTCAAATGTACACACCTAATTTTTAAAAAAAGAAAATATTCTACTGTCCCTAAAAATTTTATTTTTATTTTATTTTATTTAAAGTATTTTAAAGTGACAGATTACTACCTGAAGTTTTCGCAAAAGAAACAACAACTGGCAAACTACATATTTTATTTATAACCAAGAAAACATAATTCTTGTCACTACAGTCCTGAGCAGTATCTCAGGATTCTGTACAACAATGGTGTACTATTTTATCTTGATTTATCAAATTGTTTTTAACATAGGGCATGTTGTTAAAAAATAAAAGGCATACCTTAAGACTTCAGAACATAATGTGAGTCACACAGCTTTTTTCTTTTGTATTCTAAATGAGAACAATTACCTTGAAAATGAGTGTTTGGTCAGAGGATAAAAGGGCAAAAGAGAATATAAAAATGTAACCAAACAAAGTAATCAGAAATATACACAGAAACCAGAAATAGATATAATGGAAGTATATCTATTTTTGGAATGTTATATTTTATTAATAAGAACCAGTATCTATTTGTGGCAGCTATATCAGACAGGTGTCATACCAAGTATATGGCAGAGATGCCCATATTTTTTCAAACTTTTCCAAGAGCTAACATCTCCCTGAAGCCATTTCATATAGAGAACAGATGTATGTGATTAATTTTTCTTTTTTTCTAGAATTTTTTTTGTAGAAGGTAGATGATTAAATGTTTTTGATGATTAAATGGTTTTGAATGTGCTTCTCTGCTTGAAGAAAATTAAAAGTCAGTAAAACTATAATTATGCAGATAAAACATAGCAAGAAGGCTGGGGATTTAGCTCAGCAGCATAAGCACCTGCCTGGTGAGTATGGGATTGTGAGTTCTATCCCTGGTACAAAAAAAAAAAAAGTGAGAAAAATAAACATGAGATCCAGATTAGGTGTACACAGGCTACACTGAAAATAATTTGTGACACGAACTGAGTTAACTTTATAATATTCTTATATAACCTCAATATGATTAATATAATTTGGCAGAAGAAATGCCACAGAGAACCAAAGCTTCTGAGTAACAAGTAAAGCATACATATTGTTCATTTACTGCTTCTACTAACAAAACACAGACTTAAAACCACATTATAGCCATGGGAGACAGAAAGGAACTAAAAAGTACGTACACTATCATGAATATCCTAAAACTGTAAAACATTCCTCTTACAAGATTACACTGGCTATCCACTAAGATACTGAATAAAATTTTGTAGATTTGGGCCTCTAAAGTTTATATTAAACACGATGTTTATTTTTCTAAACATTTTGTTTGTAATTAGAGTAAGAACTAGTAAAAAAGTAATAGGACATAGTTTATGGCCACATGGTCCAAGTATCAGGCATTCTATTATCATTGCTAAAAGCTAGCATACCTTTCTACTCAAATGTGTTTTTAATCAAATATACAACAATATAATAGCTAATATATATAAACTTTTAAGAATGAAGAGATCATGAAAAGCTGATTATTAAAGCAATTTTGCAAATATATAACACCATGGGTTTCTAGTTTAACTGTTGCTTAATCGATACTAGACACTCTTGAATGCATTTTGCTTTCATTCATAGCATGATCTAAACCAAACAGTGGTATAGTTATTGAGTTTGGAGATGTTTCTGACATTATTGCTTCAAAAAGAAAACAACGGTTTTCTGTTACCCCACCTTACTCTATGCCTTTCCCTCTTACACCTTCTTCCGGGGTTCCAATTACACGTATAATAGGCCACTGAAACTGTGCTACAGCCCATAGATGCGCAGGATTTTTGTTTATTTCATCTTTATTCCTCTGTGTTCTATTGTGAATAGTTGCCATAGCTAAGCCTTTGATTTTTTTCTTCGGAAATGTCTAATCTGCTGTCAGGTCCTGAACAGTTAACTGTGTTTCCCATTTACTCCCTGTCATGTACTAACAACAAAGTTTTGGTGTAATAATGAGTGATGATTTTGAAGCCTACTACTTTTTCTCACTTATCGCAGCGTATTTTGTCTTTTCTATACTGAGCTTAGATCCCATGATATCTTATTCCACAACTGCCTACATGACCTTCTGTTCTTGATCTGAGCTTTGTTACTCCTATTCACCTGACAAAAACTACAATTCTGGTTAAACCAATCTCTCTCTTGCCCTCTCCCACTCCGTCTCCCTCAGTGCTACCCAACAACTATAATTTTATAGTCCATGTTTTCTCCTTTCTCAGAAAAATGGTTTCATTGTTACTCTTTCTCTAATAGCTGCTCACCTATTCTAACATATCAGGTGATTTTTTTAACTTTCTGAGACATACAATCAAAGTAACTTCCACAAGCTTCCACCACCCATCATATGCATCTGTATCTACACACTGCATCTTCTCTTTTGTTGCTATGAAAACATTAGCTATTGATGCTTTAAGGCCAACCTGTGCACCGGAAGACTGTATTCCTCTTGTTTATTCAAGGACATGGCTATAGAGATTTCGTTCTCTCCCTCTAACATCACCAATTTCTCCCATTCTCCTGGATCCATCTGCATGCCACATTACAGAGAAAAGCTTCAGTAGTTCTTACAACAAAACAAAACCCTCGGTGTCCCATTCCTTGTGGCTCCTGCTCCGCTCCTCCTGCCCTTATGGCAGAACTTCTCAAAGGAAGTGACTCACGGTCTCCGACTCTTCCTGCATTTTATTTAGAACTCTCCATATCATTTCAGTGATATTTTTTCAGCCTATTTTTTTCGAAGGACACTAAAAATTTCCACGTTGCTAAATCCAAGTCTGTATTCTCAGTCATCACTAGCTCATTCTTTTTATCTCTACAACTTCTAAATATTGGAATGCCCCAGGGATCAGTCCTCTTTGGAACTATACTTCTCTCCACAGTGATCTCATCTAGTCAAGACTTTAAATATCATGTTAACTGTGAACTACAAAATTTATTGCACAGGATATAAGCAAGATCCATACGTGTATATCCAACATCTGACATAGTTTCGTCTATTTTCATGGAATTTCAAAGTCTAAATCTCTAGGTTGCCAAACTGCTCCTTCCACAAACTTGATCTCAGTAAAGCAAAAACTATTCCCCAATTTCTAATATTAACAAGTTGAGAAATATTTGAGAGTCTCTTTTTATACCCCATATCTGATCCATCATCAGTTCTACTGCAATCTAACCATTTCTCACATCCTGCACTACCACCTCCCGAGTCTGAAGCTTTCCTCTAGGTTATCCCACTAGCCAGAAGTGGGAAATCTGTAGCATACATGCTGCAATGGGAACATAGAGCCCTCTCTGTCTGCATGAGAGTCAAATTGTTTGAGCCAAGGTTTGACAAATTATCAGCATATACATAACAGCAAAAATCACACTAATTGTGTACAAGCTTACCAAATGCAAAAGCTGTCTGTAGCACTGAAAGCTCTGTTATTGTGTTTTTCTTAAATTTAAGATGGAAGATGTTAATGTATGAGTTGTTTTTTCTACACTAAAACCTCAGTGTTCAGGTTTAATTGCAGTGCTGACACTTTGAGATAAGTAAGTGGGTTTTGGGTTGCATTTTGGGCATGCAGTTTCCTTGCTTAACTGGTCTCCCTGCTGTTTTCTCTGTCCTCAAGGGAACAGCACAGTAATCACCTGACTCTTCTGCTCCACGTTTTCGATGGCGAGCCATCCTCACCCCTTAGCAGCCAACAGTCCTTATACCAGCTTGCAAGGCCCGGTGTGAACCAGCCTCGCATGACTTCCCTGACCTCACCTCCCACCAGTTTCCCTCACTTGTTCTTTTCCAACTATCCAGGTCTCATTGCTCTTTCTTGGACATATCAAGTAAGATTTAATACCTGTGACATTGCGTTTGTCTCAACAGTTTTGTCTAGAATTGACACATCAGGCTTCCTTTTTCCCTCAGGTGTTTATTCAAACACATTTTGTGAGTGAGGCCTGTCAGATCCCCACTCAGACAAAGAAGAAAAACTCCCCCAGCAGGGCCACTGACTGCAGCTGCAGTGATAGAGAGATAACAGGGAGCCAGAGCATTCAA